CTCTGACTCTTCTATAGCCAGCAGGGTCAGGCCTACGCAGATTATCCCCATATCTTAAGGTCAACCGTGCCCAATGACAACACAGTCGTGGGACCGAGATACACCACATTCCCCATCCAGGGATGATGCAGGGTGAGAAATCTCAGGAACGCCTTGATTTCTGCAACACACAGCCCTTAGAGACACATTGCTGCACATCTGTCCCACAGCTTCCTGAAAGTTGAGTTGCTAGGTCAGAGCAAATGGACCTTGGGGATTTTGAAGCAAGCAGTTTTGCAACAGAAGGAACATGAAGATCCCTGAGAACTCTGTTTGGAGCTGGCCCCTCTGCCTGGTGGGGTGACCAGCAAGCAATCTGCTCCACCGCTCTCTTAGCTGGCTGCCTCAGAGCCAGCAAGTCCACCTTTGGGGGTCTCAGGGCTTATCTGTGCCATAGGGAGACTCACACCTCTTCTCAAGAGGAGGCCAAAGGCATCTGTTGTCAGGAATCCCTAAGACCACTGTCAGGTTTGGTAATTCACTAGAAGGATGCACAGAACTCAGAAAAGCTCTTATATTCATGGCTGTGTTAATCACAATGAAAGGATACAGTCTAGGATCAGCAAAGGAAGAGGATGCATAAGGCAGAAACCAAGAGAAACCAGGCACAAGCCTCTGGTTGCAGACAGCACTTGATTTTCCCAGCAATGATTGTGACAACACACATAGAATATTGCCATCCAGGGAAGCACACTCAAGCCTTGTCCAGGGTTTTTGTGGAGGAGGAGGGGTCACTCATGCAGATATGGCTGATCACCCATCCAGAGGCTGAGCTGATACCATGTAACCAAAAGCCCCTACCCTATTTTTCTCTCTTTTTGGCGGGGATGTGGGGAGGGCAGATGGCATGTGAGATCTTAGTTCCCTGACCAGGAAGTGAACCTGTGTCCTTCAGATTGGAAGTGCGGTGTCTTAACCACTGAACCGTCAGGAAAGGACCCCTCATCCTAAATCATATTGTTATTGTGGACTATTTGGCATGGCCCATGGCCTCAGGTAAGCTGATACTCTTATCAGTCAGGGTATTCCAATAGTCTAGAAGTGACTTCCCAGGTGCCAGTCAAGGGCCAGTCCTTTAAATGTGCAAGGTTTGTTCAGGGTTTGCACAACCCACGCCTTTAGAGTTTCTTGTTTACTGCTCTACAGATGGGGTTCTAAGAGCCCTCATGGTTCCAGCAGAGGTACCAGGGAAGGCTTTGATTGGGTCACTGTGAGTCACATGACACCCCAGGAGCCAGTCACTGTGGCCAGGCTGCTGGACTGGTCTGATTGGCCAGGCCTGGGTTGCCCCAAGGCTGGTGGGGAACTAGCCCCATTTGTGTGGTAAGGAGTGAAGGTGAGTTCCACCAGGAGGAGAAATAGAGAATGGGCATTCAAAGGCACTGATGATGCTACACTGGCTGACCCCAGCCAGCACTCAAGTTGTCCTTTAGGGAAGATGTGAGATGGAGGCGTGCAAAGGTCACCCTGTTGAAGTGCTCAGGAGACCTGAGCTTTCCCACACAAAGCTCATTCTTCTATGTTCACTTCCAATTCATGGCAGGTCGCACCCCTGAGGGCAAGGGCTGGGCTGACAGGGTACACAGAAGGCACGGGTATACGTTTTGATATGAAAGAAAAATCCATCCACCCAATCTCTGAACACAGCACACACTGTCCAGTCAGCACACCTTTGCACATACTGTGCCTGAATCAGGAGCAAGCACCGTCTGACAGCCCCCAAAGGCCTCCTGTGTCCTTTAGGGTAGCTTCATTGCCCCTCTGGCTCCCTACCACCACCCTGTTCACACCACCGAGGATGGGATGACCCAGGGGATGGATACATTAAGGCTCCCACCTGGCCCTGGCATTCAAGGCCTATTCTCACCTCTTGGCCTTAACCTGCAGTAAGATGCAGAAACAGCTGCATGGGCTCTGGAGGCAGGTTGACCTGGGCCAAATCCTGCCTGTTACTCCCAGATAGTGGGACCCTAGGCAGGATTCATCTCTCTGAGCTTTCATCTGCTCGGCTCATAATGGGCACAACCAGAGCAACCATGAAGAAGAGGGGCAAAGGAAGGAGGCACAACCAGCCTGACTCCATCATCATTAAAAAGCTATTCTTCAGGACACATGAAACCTGCCAAGGGGACACAGAGACCCTCAGCATGGAGCAGGGTCAGAAAAGACTCACAGGTGTGTGGTCAGTTGCTTTTTTTTTTTTTTTTTTTAATATTTATTTGGCTGCTCCAGTCTTAGTTGCAGCATGCAGAATCTTTAGTTGTGGCATGCAAACTCTCAGTTGCAGCTTGTGGGATCTAGTTCCCTGACTAGGTACAGAACTTGGGCCTCTGCATTGGGAATGCAGAGTCTTAGCCACTGGACCACCAGGGAAGTCCCTCAGTTGCTATTTGACAAAGCCGTCATAGTAACTCACTAGGGGAAACAAAGTCTTCCCCACAGATGTTTCTGCAACAGCTGGACCTATGCGTGCGTATTCAGTTGTGTCCAGCTCTTTGTGACCCCATAAACTGTAGCCTGCCAGGCTCCTCTGCCCTGGTATTTTCCAGCCAAGAATACTGGAGTGGGTTGCTATTTCCTACTCCAGGGATCTTCCCCACCCAAGGATCAAACCTTTATCTCTTGCATCTCCTGCATTGGCAGGCAGATTCATTACCAACTGCACCACTGGGAAGCCCAACTGGATGGCTATGTGGAAAAATATGAACCTAAACCCCAACCTCACACCACTTAGAAAAGTTAACTCAAAGTGGCTCCTGGATCTTAATGTAAAAGTTAAAGCCATAACAGGTTTAAAAGAAAAACCAAAAAATCTCTACAAACAGCTCAGCAAATATTGACAAAAAGCATGTGGAATGAAAGGAAAAAAATTGACAAATTGGACTGCATTAAATTTTAAATGTATGTTCTTTGAATGAACAGAAAATGAAAAGTGAGGAACTTCCCTGGGGGCTCAGTGGTTACAACTGCCATGCTCCCAATGCAGGAGACCCAGGTTCAACTCCTGGTCAGGGAACTAGATCCCACATGCCACAACCAACAATTAGCATGCCACAAGGAAGAGATCCTACATGCTGCAACTAAGACCTGGTGCAGCCAAATGAATAAGAAAATGAAAAGTGAGACACAAAGTGGGAAATACATTCACAATACACCTGACAGAAGTCTTGTCCCCAGAGTATATGATGAAGAGATGGGCACCGAACAAGGCTGCTGCGGGTCCGCAGTGGACTAACGCCAGTGCTGATGCACAGTCAGTGCTCAGGAAAGGCAGCAGTGATGACCCTCACACCCAGGCCAGAAAGTCGCCCAGCCAGCCCACAGTCCACCTGGCCGCCCCCTCAGGCCAGCTTCCCAGCCTGAAACCAGGGAGACTGAGCACAGAGGGGGTATGCTGCCTGAGATGCAGGCCTTCTAGGCCTGGCCAACCCACGGTCCCCACCCCAGCGCCTCCGATGGAACCCCGTTCCTGTCGGAGGCCAAGGTAGAAACCGAAGGGGACTGAATGGTGGAGAGTAGGAGCAGTTCCAAGCCACAGCCAGATGTGCCCTGAGAGTAATCCAGGGGGCCCCGAGAGGGCCTGGAGCAGGCAGGGAAAAGATCGCATTTCAAGGCCTGACAGCCACCTTCTGCTGGGTGGCTGTGGCCAGTGGCTTCTCCTGGACTGTAAGCGGGGGTGTGCTAAGTCGCTGCAGTCATGTCCAACTCTGTGATCCTATGGACTGTAGCCCGCCGGGCTCCTCTGTTCATGGGGTTCTCTAAGCGAGAGTACTTGAGTGGGTTACCAGTTCCTCCTCCAGAGAATCTTCTGAACCCAGGGATCAAACCTGCTTCTTTCACATCTCCTGCACTGGCAGGTGGGTTCTTTACCACTAGCGCCACCTGGGAAGCACTAGCAAGGGGCTGGGCATGAGCCAAACACCTGTGTGTCTACCTCAGACTTCTCCTCTCCTGGAGGCAGGCTAAAGCAGCAAGAAGGAACTCGGGTTGACAAAGGTGCCAAACACTGGCTCTGGCTGTCCTGGTTGGGACGGTGGGTGGCGTTTTGGGGAGAAGCTCCTACAGCCCTGGGTGGTCAGGAAAAGGAGATGGGACGCAGCTCCTGGAATCACCCCCACCCCTCCTGGAGGCCCTGCAGGGTCCTGCTCTGCTGAGCACCCACCTGTATCGCCTTTGACACCAGGTTCCATCCTGCTCCAGGGCCCAGACACGGTGCGTCCGCCCGCTGCACACCCAGACCTCCGCGGTCACCAAGGGCTCAGCACGGTCCCCACTGCGCTCCCGCAGGTGCAGATGAGGCAGCAGTGACCTCCCGCCGAGTCTCACCAGGCGCCCTGAGCACAAGGCCCCGCCAAGCCAGGTCGGTTTCCCACTCAGCACAGAGGGTCTGCTGTGGCCCAAGAGCAGACAAGCCCCCTCCAGTCCCAGCCTGGCCACATCCACCGTCCTCTGTGACCCTGGCGGGGCACAGAAGGCCTCCGGCTCAGTCCCAAGTGACGCTGAAAGAAGGTTCCAGAACAAGCAGGGAGCGGGGTGGGAGGCTTTTATTTCACTGTGTGTGGGTGGAGGGGGCCTGGACAGAGGGCAGCAGGCGGGGCAGGAGGGGCTGGAGCTTGGAAAGGGGCGAGGCAGGAGGAGGGCTGCCCCCAGGCCTGTTGGGAAGAGGACACTGGGACTGATCCCTGCTGGGACCTCACCCCAGGGGTGGGGTGAGAATTGGGTCTGGAGCAATGAGAGCCCCCTTGCTCCAGGCTGGACGTGGGGCCCGGGCCCTGCCTCGCTTTCCTCCAGTAGGGCTCAGTCCCTCCTGCTCGTGGGGCCACGTGACCCCCAAACCTCACTGCCCCCGCCCCAGAGGAGGGGGCTAGGCCAGTTAGGGCAGTGGACAGGGAGCCTGGGGGAGTTAGGGGGCACAGGGTGGGGTCCACGGTGAATGGAGGGGATGGCGGCCACCTGGGCGGTCAGTTCCTGGCAGCGATGACCACAGAGAGCGCCACGCCCCCCAAGGCGACAGCAGTTGCCCCAAACAGCCACTTCCACGGGATGGACTGTGGATAAAGGAGAGGGAGGAGGCGGCTAGACAGTGGGCAAGACAGATGGTTTGCACCTCAGCTAGCAACTACGGTCCCAACGGGCCTCCCAGGAAACCACTGCCTGAAAATGCCTTTCCTGCCTCTTGGAAAATTCCTACACCTGCACCAAAACTCAAGCGAAGTCTCCCCTCCTCTAGTACACCTCCCCTTCCCCTCTGCAGGAGCCCTCCAGATTGTGTTGCATCTTCTGCTCTGGCTCTGATCACACAGTGCTGGGGATTCTCTGTGTCCACGTCCCCAGCATGATCCAGCACGGCCCAGTTCAGGAAGACACTGATGTCTGCACAATGAAGCAACTCCCTCTGCGTGGTGTACCCTGCACACAACCCTCCTCTGGGAGCCTCCCTGCGCCCGCCAGCCCCTGCTCACCCAGGCACCCTTGCCAGGACACTTGGCAGGCAGCCGGCTGGGGTTGCCCAGCATCTTCCGGTACAGGGCGGTCTCCGTGCTCCTCTGGGCCGCGTGCTTCTTCACCAGCTTCGAGAGCTCTGCATGGATCGTCTGTGAGAGAGGGGTATTGGTAAGAGCCAACCACTGTTGCCAGCAGCCTGCCTACCTGGGCCCGGGGGCTTGCTAGGGCTGGAACCACTGGGACATGGGAGTTGTCCACTACTCTCTGGGCGTTAGCAAAGTAGGGGCTGCTGTCTGCATCCTTCAAGGAAGCCAGAAGATGGGGTGGAGCAAGGGTGGCCGGAAGAAAGTTTCCAAGAAGAAATCTTCTGGGAAGGAAGCTGAAAACACTGACGCTGGCCAGGCTGGCAGTGCCCTTGACCTCTGGAACCCCTGCTGAGGGTGAGCGCCCAGACTGCCTCTGCAGGGGTCAGAAAGGGTCTCAGCAGGCAGGCTGGGGCCCTGCAGTCACATACCCCCTGCTACTGCCCAGACAGAAACTATAGGGGAGAGCCACAGCAAGAAAGATAAGGGGCAGACCACAAGCAGAACTTCCTGTCAGGTCAGCATGGCAAGTCTCAGGGTGCCCCCGCTCTGCTCACCTTGTTGGAAGGTTCCAGCTTCAGGGCTGCCCTCAAGATGGGGATGGCCTCACTATACTCGCCTTGTTGGGCCAGCACCTGCGGGAGCAAGTGGGGAGTTATCACTTGGACCCAAGCCGGGCCATGTTCTCCTCCAAGAGACCCAGCCCTGCCATGCTCCCAGTCATCTGACTAGTTCCAAGTCTATCTCCAGCAACTGCCCCAGGGCTCCAGTCACCCCATACTGCTCCCCAGAGCCCTCGGACTACCCGAGCGGCAGCCAGACTCAGTGTTCTTTCCCGTGAATGCTGGTTTCATCGTGGGCAAGTGGCCCAGGCACTGGTCTCTCCCCCTCCCTCACCACCTTGGCTGACTCGAGAAGCCACCGGATGCTGCCAAAGCTTTGGCCACATTGAATGGTTCAGAGCCAAGCATGTGACTCAAGCCAGCCAATGAGATCCAGCCGGAACCAGGCTGGGAGCACTGGAAGGCCAGTTGCTTAGCAGAAAGGATGGAGGCCTGGCACTTTTGGCATAGCAGGAGGGAGCATCTTGAGAGAGGCGTGTGCCTGAGAAATGAACACAGCAGGCAGACACAGTTAACTCCACAACACTGCTAAACACCTGGATCCAGCCGTGACTGAAGCCATCTAGGCCTGAAACTTGGCAGGTCCACAAGCCATCAATTCCTCCTGGTTGAATCTGAGTGGGTTTCCATTACCTTTGACCAGCAGACCCAAACAGGTGTGAGGCTACAAGAACAGACAGTCTCATTTCCCACAAGAGAATTCTTTCTAAACCCCGAAAAACAGGGACAGCATCTTTTCTCTCCTTACGTTTCTATACCCAAAAAGTACTTTAAAAAAACGCTGGCTGGCCTGCTCAGGTCTCTGACAAACACACTAAATGACCCAGCATTTGCTTATACCTTAGTTTCCTTAGTTTACTGCTAAAAAATGCTGAAGGCACCCCCTCTCCCAGCAGAGTGAGAATGAACAGAGACAGAGACAAAAGCAGTGGACAGAGACACCACTGTCTCTTGTCAGTGGTCAGGTCCACTCAGACCAAGTCCCCCTGCGCTCCACCTGCACTGACTCAGCAGCTGTGTGCGCCTGGCTCTATTTGCAGAGCTAAGATGTAGCAGGGAATGAGAATACAAAGGGCTTCCCCGGTGGCTCAGTGGTAAAGAATCCGCCTGCAATGCAGGAGCCACAGGAGATGCAGGTTCAATCCCTAGGTCAGGAAGATCCCTTGGAGGAAGGCACAGCACCCCACTCCAGTATTCTTTTGCCTGGAGAATCCCAAGGACAGGGGAGCCTGGTGGGTTATATCCACAGGGTCGCAAAGAGTCAAACGTAACTGAAGCGACTTAGCACGCAGACATACGACATACAAAATCCCCACCCTCTGAGAAGGGCCATGGACAAGAGGCATGACATGTGCCGATGCTGACAGTGACATGGGAAACAGGAAGACAGGGCAGAGGCGTTGTCGGGAGGCCGTCCTGAGGAGCTGACATCAGAGCAAAGGCTTGGAGGAGACGAGGGAAGGACGCATGGGAGTGAACAGGATGTGAACAGCCCATGCAAAGGCACCGGGGTAGCAGCAGACCTAGCCCCGGTAACAACCAAGAGCAGACTGGAAGGTGATGGCAGGGGGAGAGACCAGATGGCTTACAGCCTTGGAGTCCAGGAGAAGAACCCAGCTTTTACTGAGGGAGAGTGCAGTCACAAAGGGTTATACGTAAGGAACAATTACGGATGGGCCAGGTGGCAGTGCTGGGCATCAGAGGGAACCTAAGACCCAGGGCTCGGCTCAAACGTGGCCTCAGTCAGGAACTGCTGTGACCCCAGCCACACCCCGGCACCCATCTGAACCTCAGTTTTCCCATCTGTACCCTGGAGAGCGTGGCTGGATGATGCTTATGCCCTTCTCAAGCCTGGGGTGGGAGACCAGCCTCACTGCCCTGGGCTGGGGGAGCCAGCCTGCCCACTGGGAGCCCGCGAGCTGCAGCTCACCTTGCCCTTGCGGAAGAGAGCCTTGATGTTGTCAGGCTGGTGCTCCAGCACAAGGCTGCAGGAGCGCAGTGCCGCGCGGTAGTGATCCAGCTTCAGCTGCGAGGCCGCCAGGTTGTTCAGACACTTCACCTTCAGCTGCAAGAGCTGCTCCTCCTCCTCGAACGTCATGTCCACTGCGGGGGACAGCGCTCAACCACAGCTGCTATGAGCACGCCTCTAGCCCTCCCCGCAGCCATCCAGCTGCAGAGGCACCAAGTGACCCGGGCCAAGCCCACCCCTCCACACCTGGTAGTGGAGGAGCCTGGGGGACGGGCCTCTGAGTGTCCCGGTGACAGGAGATGGGGTTCCCAAGCTCCCAGTGCCGTGGGACCTCTACCACCCACTCCTTGAGGGGACCTCAGGCCTCTCAGGCCCCAGCTTTCCCATCCTAACACAGGCTAAGACCAGCACCACCCTCAGGGCACTCCCAAGGAGTCTACAAAATGGAGCCTAAGTGAACAGGGCCTGATCACGGGACACGTGGATTGACAGTGTCTGCAGTCAACCGCATCTATCTGCACTCCATAACATTCCACTGACCTGGGATATAAGTCTAGAGAGACCTAAGGAGGCTTAGTCACCCAGGGGGCTCAGTGGTAAGAATCTGCCTGCCAAGCAGGAGACGCAGGTTTGATCCCTGGCTCGGGAAAATCCCCTGGAGAAATGGCAACCCATTCCAGTATTCTTGCCTAGGAAATTCCATGGACAGAGGAACCTTGTGGGCCAGTCTATGAGGCCGCAAAAGAGTTGCCACCACCAGCGATACCTATAGGCTAGACATACTTGAACATCTACCCAGATTCTAGAATTTTTTACAACATTCTGAATCTGGGGCCCTCTGTGGCTTGAAGTTTCTAGCACTAGTGGGGATGGCTCCGCAGGGAGGTACTGGGATTCGACCTGGCAGTCACCTTTGGCGCTGGAAGTGATGGCCTTGATGGCGAGGTCATAGGAGTTGGCGGCCAGCACGAAGTCGGCCCGCTGATAGTGAGCGTTGCCACACTCCCGCTTCCGGTTGGCCAGGGCCACACGCTCCTGCCCCGTGAGCATCTCCAGGTCAGGCCCGTCCACAGCCGTCTTCAGAGTCACCTCCAGGCACAGGGCCGCGTGCGGGGGGATGTATGGGCTCCTGCTGGGGGTGGGGTGGGGATAGCACTCAGACCCAGCGGCCACCGTGACTGGACCCCCAGGCACGCTGGGTTAGCTCAGAACGGGCGGGAAAGGGCTGTCAGCCCCTCCTCAGTAAAACACAGGCAAGTTAACCCTGGCTCCCCTCGAGCTCCGTGACCCGGGGCAGGGGTCCGCTCCTGAGCCTCTGGTTCCTTCTCTATGAAGGGTGCAGGCAGACAGGATGAGACGGGGACCGCCTGTCCCACCCACTCGGGGACCCCCCCCGGGGACCCCCGTGAGCAGCAGGCTCTCACCTGCCCTGGGGGCCGTAGCAGTACTTGGAGTCAGCGGTGACCATGGCCGTCTCCCCCACGTCCATGAGCGGGACACTGAGATCCAGGGCCTGGGGCAGGGGAGCAGAGCTCGTGAGCAGTGCTGCACAACCCCCACGCCCCCCTCGCCCAGCCCCGCCCCGTCCTCACCTGGATGACGTCACAGTCGCCCAGGGTGAACGTCAGCTCCGGCTCCTCCTGCACCCGTGTGCCGTTCTCCAGAGAGGTCTGCAGCTGGACCGTGACCACCTGGCCCTTGGTCGGGCGGCTGGAGCCCGGTGGGCCTGGGACCAGCGTCTTCTTCCTCAGCAGCCCATTCCCTGCCAAGGGGAGGGAGCAGACATCCTGTCCCAGAGCGGCCCGGACAGGTGGCTGCCTCTCCGGCGGGTGGCAGAGCACCAGGGCACAGCTGAGTTTTCAGTGACCCCTCTCCCACTGCCTGGGCAGGTGACCCCACGCCTCTAGGCCCCAGTGTCCCCGGCTGGACACTGGGCATGAAAGTACTGATTTGGGGACTGACGATAGTGGCCCCGGATGGGCTCAGTGAAAGCTGGCTGGTCTGTTATCTTAAGAAAATCAAGGCGGGCGGACATCCCTGGAGGTCCAGTGGTTAAGAATCCACCTTCCAATGCAGGGATTGATCCCTGGTTGGGGAGCAAAGATCCTACATGCTGCAGGGCAACTAAGCCCGTGGACTGCCACTGCTGAGCCTGCTCCCCACAACTAGAGAAGCTCACACTTCATGACAGAGAAGGATCTGTGCACAGCAGTGAAACTCGGGCACAGCCAAAAATGAAGAATGAATACATGAGGCTTCCCTGGTGGCTCAGTGGTAAAGAATCCACCTGCCAATGCAGGAAACACAGGCTCAATCCCTGATCTGGGAAGATCCCACATGCCACGAAGCACATAAGCCGGTGCGCCACACCTATTCAGCTTGTGCACTAGAGCCCGGGAGCTGCAACTGCTGCAGCCTGTGCTCAGCAACAAGAGAAGCCAGAGCAATGAGAAGCCTGCACACTAAAACGGGAGAGCAGCCCCTGCTTGCCAAAACTAGAGTAAAGCCGGAGCAGCAATGAAGACCCCGCACAGCCAAAACCAAATTAATTAAAAAGAAAACTTCTGTATAAAAACAAATCTAGTTAATTGTTAAATTAAAAATAATTTTTAAAAAGAAAATGGAGTTCCCTGGTGGCCCAATAGTTAGGATTCTGAGCTTTCACTGCTGAGGCCCAGGTTCAATCCCTCATCAGAGAACTGGGATCCCACAAGTGGCCGAAAGAAGAGAAGAAAAAAAAATCTCGGCTCAGTGAGGGCAAAGCGCTGAGAAAAACCATCCTGCCTATCACAATCAAGGCGGCAGGGACGCCCAGAAAAGAGACTCTGGAGTGCTACCCTGTCCTCTCTCCTTTGGTTCCAATCTCAGCCCTGAGACATCTGGATCTCAGTTTAGCCAGCCATTAAGTGGGGTGGCTGGGGCTTCTCCTGGTGACACCCAGTGAGTAGCCTGCTTGTTAGTAGAGTACCTGTGATGCCAGGAGTGTGTCCGACTAAAGCACCACATCACATGGAAAGACCTAAAAGCAAAAGTAACCCCTAGTTCCCCCCTCCAGCCACCAAGGAGACCACTATGTTCCTCCCCATACCCCAAAAAATTTTGGGGATGGCCAGATGACCACAGCCAACACCTACTGAGTACCAGGCACAAGGCCCCAGGCCCTCACAAATCCACTCAAGGAGACCCCCCCAACTATGACACCCGCTGTCATCCCATTACAACTGCTGGGGTGATAGAGGGCTTATACTTATGGGGCACAAGAGACTGACGTCATCTGCAGCCACCCAGTGTACAAGAAGTACCTGTATTCTATAACAGTCCCCAGGTCTGGAAAACACTGCCATGAGTCTGAGTAGACCCTTGTCTAAAGATATGGGCAGGGAGATCTATTCATATTGTGGAATATTCTAGAGTGTTCCAAATTTCTGCAGTGCCCCCCAACTTATACCTGCTCCTGCATCGTTTCAGAATCACTTATCTAGTGGATGCCGAGGGATCCTGTGTCTTGAGGTTTCTGGACACTAACAGTGGATATGTTGGTAGGATCTCAGCTAGGCGTTGTCTCTTGCCAGGGAAACTCTGGGTAAATCACAGCCTCTCTCAAGGCCTCAGTTTCCTTGTCTAGAAGCCTGGATTCTGGCCTCAGAGAGTGGTTGGCTCAAATATAAACAAACAGAGCTATCCTCATGCTCACACAGGGAGCAGGGCAGTTCTTCGCATCAGTAGAGAAGAACTTCCCAAACTTTAATAGAGCCAGCCAAGGGGGCTGTTCAACCTTGGACAAATGCCTTCACCTCTCTGAGCCTGTTTCCCTAACTGTCAAACAGGGATATAGTAGGAATTACATCACGGGGTTGCTATGGGGATAAAATTAGAGGATGCACAGGCCTGGCAAGAACCACTGCTTAGTAAACATCACCTGGTGTTTGTTTTTTTTTTAGGCATAGTAAAGTCTGTATCTGTAGTGGAGATGAAATCAGTACCAATTTGGTTTTACCAGTGTCCGTATCATTTGATGCCATTTAGCATCAACGGTGATAGTAAGGATGCGCTATTATTTGTGTGGACATTAGCGTTATTTAGTGTATTAAATATCAGAACTAAGAGTACTATGTTTATCTTCCAGAGTTGCTGTGATGGAGTACATGGTGGAGGGTGCGGCACATATGGGTTCTCCTAGTTTCTCTTCCAGGACTTTTCTGAACACTGAGCACACTCATGAAGACCACAGATGGGATGTTCCACAAATCTATTTGACCTTAAGACACAGTTCGGGGGTGGGGGTCAGGCACTGGTCAGACAAGTGCCAAGAAAAGGAATGGGGGTTGAGAGCTCTGTGTAGCTCTGAGCAGGTGATTCAGCGTCTCTGAGTCCTGTGAGCAGCTCTGAGAAAGCAAGTCATATGTGTGTGTGTGTGTGACAGAGAGAGAAAGACAAGAAAAGGGCTCATAAACATGAAGTGTCTCAAGCAATTGCCTGTGGCTAGTGATCACCGTGGTTACCACGTTTTACTTCCAATCTCCTTCATGACAGAGACGGGGAAACAAGGCTCAGGAGAGGAGAAGGCCTAGGCCAAGGTCACTCCTGAACCTGAGCTGTCTGGGCGCCATGGGTCAACCCGAGCCACCCCTGCTCCTTACCCAGGATGTCCAGCCACTCGTCGGGGGCCGGGGCGGGTTCAGGCTCGGGCTCCATGGCGGCCAGGAACTCTCGGGCCAGGGCCCCGGGCTGCTCAGCCTCCTCCAGTGGAGGCTGCCCTACATCCTCAAGTGGCGGCAGCTCACTCAGGTCCTCCTCTTCTTCCTCCTCCTCGCCCTCAGCATCTTCCACGCCGTCCAGCACCTCGAAGTCCTCAAGTGGTGGGACCCCAGCAGGTGGCGGAGCAGTGGGCTCAGGGTCTGCAGCAGAGGGCTCAGCACAGGATGCCATGCTGCTGGGGGGATGGGAATTGGCCCTGGTAGGGGGAATGGATGGGGGTAAGAATCCCACCACACCCCTCAAATCTCCTCTGCCTCCATTCCCCACAGTGCCCATCACTTGCTGTGTGACTCAGGGGCTCCAGGCCTTAGTTTCCTCATCTGCACAGTGGGTAGAGCAACAATCCCGGTTTGTTCCAAGGACTTAACAACCCACTCACCGAACCATGGCATCAGGTTCAAACAGCAGTAGCTATTATTAGAGTTAATTATTATTTAATCTTTATAAACACCTGGGAAGTAGAGAATATCCCCTTGCAGAAAAGGAAATTGAGGCCCAGAGTGGCAAAGCCATTTGCCCAAGGTCACAGAGCAAGCCAACCACAGGATGCAGGATTTGGAACCTGGGGCTTTTATCTTTCCAGAGTGGGTGCTGGGATTTTTTTTCCCGGGGACAACCCCTGAGATCTTGGGGAGGCCATTTTTAGAGCCCAAGAGAAAAATAAAGTGAATCTTTACCAGGGCTCCCCACCTTCAGTTGTCCCATCTCCTAAGGGAAGCCTCCCAGAAACCCCAAGGCATTCCTTCGCAATACCTTCCTGAACCTAATACCACCCCCCGCAACACCAGGGACCTTGGCCCAAACCATTCCCTAGGAGCCCCTTCTCCTCTCCTCAGGCCTTCTGACCACCTTCGAAGTAGCCTCTCCCTTACAGAAGTGGTCGAGACCCCCACAGCTTCTTCCCTGGACCCTCAAGAACTGACCCCCTAACCTAGGCCCCAAGCTCTGGAGGTGATAAAGCCGTCATTCTAACCCCACAGCATCTCCTCCCTAACTCTCACCTGCCTGCTCCTTCCGGGCTCGGGTCCCATTTTCTGAGACCCTCCCAGCCCCAACCCCCACAATCCCCTGCGCTCGCATAAATAGCCCTCCCCCAACCCCAACCACCGCCCCCAGCCCGGACCAGCTTCCCCCACAGCTGGTCTGTCGCCCCTAAACACTTTGATCTCCCCAGACGCCCCCTTCCCAATCCCATAACACCCTACGCTCTCCAGACGCCCCCTGCCCCGGCCTGGCCCTCCATCAACCTCCCACCCCAATCCCCAACGCCCCACGCCTATTTGACGCCACCAGTCTGGGGCTCCCGACCCCCCGCAACCCTCGGGCACCCCCGGCCCTGCACGACTCAGCCGGCAGCGCCCCCACCCGCTGCCCTTGACCCTCCGTGGCCCCCACTCCTGGTCGCCCCCACCAGGTAGCACCCCCTCCGGCACTCCGACCCCCCGCGCCCCCCGGCTCGCTTCCCCCGCGGCCCTTCACCCCGCCTAGCAGTCGCAGCCCCCGCCGCGCCGGGCCCCGGACTAGCCCAGGCCCGGGCAGTGCTTCGGGCCGACGCGGCCCCGCTGGCGCCCCGGGACACGTGCCTCCGGCTCCGGGACCCCAGCCTGGGGTCCTGCGCCCCCCTCCCCGCCCCCAGCCGCGGCCGCCGCGCCTCGGGAACCAGGCTCTGGCGCCCAGCCCCGCCCTCACCGCAGCCATTGGACGCCGCCGCAGTGACTACAGCGTCCATTGGTCTGCGCGCACATCTATCTCCGGCACAGGCACCGCCCCCTTCCTGCTTGTATCAGCAGGGCCTTCTTAAAGGGGCAGAGGCCGCCGCGCCACCCCCGAACGGGGGCGGGGGCGAGGTGGGGGGAGAGCGGGGGCGGGAGCCGGGGTAAGGTTGGGGGTGCTGCAGATCCTAGTCAGTTCACGGGTCAGTACCGCGCAGCCTGGCCAGACAAACCGCTTGTCTGACATTCGGCTCATCTGCGAAATGGGGATAAACACCTCTATCGACGCACTCTCTCCTTGAGGGATATTGGGAGGACAGCATTAAATGGTACTTTCTTAAGGAACTCAGGTTTGCGGGTCAGGGCGGTTCTGAGACTGCTGGATAACCCACCCTGAATCCCTAGTTACTTCTGTGGATCACAGGCTCCGAGGAAGAGCGACGTGCCCAAGGGCACACGGAACCTTGGTACCCCTCCCCCATCCCACCCCACCCCCCGGCGCAACGTGGTCTGTCTAATCCCGGGAAGGTTGCCGGGTGCAAACCGGAGGAACTCAATAATGGCTAGGTTAACTGCTCAAAGAGCAGGGCCACTGGGAGGAATCCCGCCTCCCTTCCTCCCCTGCTGGAGTATGATAAGGTACCCATGGCCCCAAGGAGAAGGTGGCAGCTTTGATTAGAAGGGTTTTTATGGCTCGTGTTTTGAAAGGAGGGCACTTACTCCTCCTTCACTGTATTTTTTTTTTTCTTCCCGGCAGTTACCCCCTTCCAGAATGATTTTGCTAATTCTTTGGCTTCCCCCAGCTCTTCTCCATTCTGGAAAGAATTTTGCCTGTTTTATCCTTACCACCTCCTTAAAGGATGCTTAGGGTCTATGGGAGTTCAATAGATGAATGAGTAACTGAATGAATTAATGAATAAATGAAACTCTGGCTTTTGGAGGTAGCTAACATTGTGGGAGGTAACTCGCTTTTGGAGATAATTTGTCAGATAGGAGCTCTGAGGTCCCCTCCTACTGGAAGCCCTCCCTGACCTCCCCAAGGCAAGACTAGGTGTTTTGTTTGGCGCAGTCTTGGTATACTTCATAGGTGATTCACTTCTGTCTGTGCCATCAGTTGACTTCTGCCTCTCCCAGTAGACTTCTGCCTCTCCCAGTAGATTGGAAGACCCTCCAAATCTGGGAAGAATATGTTGTTTCTCATCGTTTTAGTCCTGAGACCTACATGGTGATTGTGCCTGGCACAAAACAGGGAGAGGTGTCCCGGGAAATCACTGTGGAAGGAAGGCAGGCTGGCCTGTCAGAAGCGGCAGTAAGGCACCAGGATTATGTGAAATTGCCTGGGAAGGAATAGCTAGTAAACTTTGGGCCAGTCCTGGTTCTGAGGGACTTGGATTAATCTCTGCTCATCTCTGAATCTGTTTCATCTTCATAATGGAGTCACTTACCCAACCAGTCCCACCCCTGTTATAGGGGCAGAAGGAACTATAGTAAACAATAGTACAAAAACAATTAAAATAGACAAATATAAAGTAATAACATCAACAATAATGGTAATAAAATAGTGAGTGACAAGTGTCAGAGATGTAGGCAAACACTTTACAGGTACTTAATCCTCACATCAGCCTTGTGAGACAAATACTCTGATATTTGGAGGCCACGTCATTGGCTGTGTATAGAGCTGCAATTGTCATATTCTCCCAGTGAACTGAGCTTTTTATTATTATGACATGCCCCTCTTTATGCTTCTTGCCTTAGAGTGGACTTTGGTATAAAAATCACACACCTATTCTCCATTGGTGCATGTTTTAAATGCTCCATTCCTTTCCACCTTTATGTATCCTTGTGTTATTCATGTGCCCTTTGTAAGCAGCAAAGAACTGGGTTTTGCTTTTTTTTGGCGGGGGGGTGCTTTTTGATTCAGTCTGCCCATCCTTGCCTTTTAACTAGGGCATTTGGTCTGTTTACATTTAATGTAATTATAGACATATTTAGACTTAAATCTGCCTTTTTATGTGTTTTTTGCCACCTAATTTTTCTCTCTCTTGTCTTCTTTAGGATTGGATGTGAATGTTTTAGTAAGACTCTTATCCTCACTTTACAGAGAGGAAAACTGAGGCACAGATTAATGAAGGATAAGATGGGCCAGGTCTTTTATACCCTTTGAACTTCTCTTCTAGCCAGGCAGCTGGATATTGCACAAACAATAAAGCAGATAAATATCTAATTGCAGCTTTGATGAGTGCTGTGCAGGAAATAAAACTGGAAAATGTAGGAGAAAGGTTTCCTGTCCCCAGCCTTAGGTTTCCCCAACCAATGTCACCATCGCTCGGCTGACTGGGCATTCCCACTCCTTCCCACCCTCTCTCTCAAATACACAAAAGAGGAAAACATTTTCTCACCTCTACTCCACTGTGCACAAAACCTTTGGAGCCAGCCAAGTCCCTTTTGGCCTCAATGTGCAGCCCCCACCCCTTCCAGGACCCTTATAAATGTTTCCTGGCCTCCAACAAAGCCCAAGAGACCCACTGAAAAGTTTCTGCAGTCTGGGCCTCTTCTGCTACAGCCTGCAGACAGAGTCATGGTTCTACTTTTCCCAGCAGCCATCACCCAGACTCTTCTCAGCACTGACTGCTGTCTGGCTCATGAGGTTCCAATATTTGTAAAAGATCCAAGCCACACTACATGCTTTCACACCATCCTGTCTTTGTTCCTGTGATCCCTTCAGCCCTGAATGATTGTCAGCACCCAGAAAACTCCTAATCCTACCTCAAAACTCCATCCAAGGAACTTCCCAGGTGGTCCAGTGGCTAAGACTCCACATTCCGAACGCAGGGGGCCTGTGTTCAACTCCTGGTTGGGGAACTAAATCCCACATGCCACAACGAAGAGTTTGCACGCTGCAACTAAGATTCTACGTGCTGCAACTAAGATTTTGCATGCTGCACCGAAGATTGAAGATTCGATGCACTGTAGCGAAGACTTGGCACAGCTGCTCTGGCCACCAGGCTCCCTATGGGACACAGCAGTGAGCACACGCTTGGAAGCAGGGCTCATCATCTTGGACCATCAGTGTCCCCCACATAGGCCCCTGCATCTGGAGAACCTGCATACTGACTTCCCCAACCCCCAAGATCTATCCCACAAAGATGCTTGGAAATGGGCTTTTTGAGACCCCAGCTAGGAAATCAGGAGAAGATTCCTGAAGAGTCTGCCTCCTTTTTCTTCTTATTCTGAACAAAACATGCACATTAAAGCTGCTCTTTCTTTCTTTCTTTTTTTTTTAAATATTTATTTATTTGGCTACACTGGGTCTTAGTTGCAGCATGCAGAATCTAGTTCTCTGACCAGGGATCTAACCCGGACCCCCTGCATTGGGAGCACGGAGTCTTAGCCCCAGGACCACAGAGAAGTCCCAAAGCTTCCATTTCGTAAAAAAAAAAAAACAAAAAAACTCCATCC